AAATATAGATAATTTCTATATAATTGGTGTATAACTGCTAATTAAAAATTGTTTAAATTTCAAATTACGTGTATTAGACATGGTATAGTGTAAAGTAATAACTATAAATCTATTAAAGTGACATAATGTAAGTAAGGCATGTTTTAGCATGCCACAATTAGTTTGAGCAAATATATATTCTTACAAATATCCCGTTATTTGTGCACTGCATACTAAGCACAAATCACCCAATGTTAAATGTTATCGATAGCTAGTTACTCCCACCTCTACACTAAATATTATTAGCAAAAAACGCCGACAAAAAAAGAGCAAAGTCAGTAGCAGTGCAAAAATGGAGCCCACTTTGGATCATTACAAGATTAGCTGCGAGCTGCTGGGCCACAGCTTGGATGTGCGCGCCGTTGCTGCCGCTGGCAATGCAGAGGGCGCTGGTCAGATTATCGTGTCCGGCTCGCGGGACAAAAGTACAAAGCTCTGGAAGCCGATCAGCGGGTTCGTAGCTAGCCAAAGATAATGCAATTAAAAACCTTTCAGTTAGATTATAAAATATCTTGCAATCACAGCAACGAGTATATCGAGAGCGTCACCCTGCAGGACCACAAGAACTTCATATCCTACATCTGTTACCTGGAGTCCGAGCAGTGGATCTGCACGGCCAGCAACGATGCCACCATTTGTGTCTATCAGCACGATGCCTTCGTGCCGCTGATCACCCTGAAGGGCCACGAATCGACTGTGTGTGCCCTGGCCGGCGGCCTCCAGGCGCGGAGCATCATCAGCGGCAGTTGGGACAAAACGGCGCGCATTTGGCTCATCAGCGAAACGGGCGATGTCACATTTGTGACGCTCCAGGGTCACGAGGCGGCCGTCTGGGCCGTGGCCACAGAGTCTGCCCAGCAGAAGTATATCACCGGCGGCGCCGACAAGTGCATCTACTACTGGAATGCTCGAGGCGAGAAGCTGCGCCTGCTCAAGGGCCACACGGACTGCGTGCGTGGCCTCATCCCACTGCCCGCTAATTCGCTGCTCTCGTGCGGCAACGATGCCGTGCTCCGTTTCTGGAACGAGGACGGCGAATGTGTGCGAGAGCTGAACGGCCACACCAACTACATCTATGCGATGGCTCGCAACCAGGCGCTGGGTGAGCACATTGTCGTCTCCTGCGGCGAGGACAGCACGCTGCGCATGTGGAATGTGATTACCGGCGACCAGCTGGGCGCGCCCATCCTGCATCCGGCTATTTCGGTGTGGTCCGTGGCCTGTCTGCGCAATGGGGACATTGTGACCGGCTGCAGCGATGGCGTCGTGCGAGTCTTCAGCCAGGATCCAGCGCGCCAGGCGACCGAAAGTGTTCGTGCCAGCTTCGAGATGGCGGTGAGCACGCACAAGGCGCAGCTAAGCGAGGACATTGGCGGTGTCAAGAAGACGGAGTAAGTGCACCTAGGACTACATCCAAAATACTTATATACTTATTTGAGCTTTCCTTTTTTAGCCTGCCCGGGCCGGAGGCTTTGCTGTCCAATGGCACGCGGGAGGGCCAAACGAAAATGGTGCGTCATGTGGATGGGTCAGTCAAGTGCTACTCCTGGGAGCTGGGCAAATGGTCGTTGGTGGGCGATGTGACCGGCGCCACGGGTGGCACTCAGGAAACCTCCGGCAAGCAGCTGCACGAGGGCAAGGAGTACGATTATGTGTTCAACGTGGATATCTCCGACACGGAGCCGCCCATCAAGTTGCCTTACAATCGCGGCGAGGATCCCTGGCAGGCGGCTCAACAGTTCATTCATCGCAATAACCTTCCCCAGGCCTATCTCGATCAGGTGGCCAATTTCATAGTCAAGAATTCCGAAAGTGCGCCCGTCGTCGCGACCCAGAGCACGGCGTAAATAACTCATTTAATATCTAATTAAATTTATCGATAAATATCGATTGTTCTCATTACTTTCACAGCGGATATCAGGATCCTTTCACGGGCGGCTCACGGTATGTGCCCGGCTCGAGCAGCAGCAATGTCCGCGGCAGTGGCAATATGGATCCCTTCACCGGATCTTCCAGCTACTCCACTAGCAGCAGCCAGAGGCCATCCAACATCGATGTCAATTTCGTGAGCGCCAGCGACAAACACTTCCCCGTGAGCACCTATCGCACCTTCGACACATGCGACGCCAACAAGGTGCTGGAGAAGATGAAGTAAGGGAGAGTAGGTGCTCCTCTATCTCCTCCAGCAAATGCTAATCCGTTGCCCATCCCTTTCTTACAGAGAGTTCAACAATAAGCTGACCAGCGCCGAGGGCAAGGTGGGCGATGAGCTGTTGCTCGCGGTCATACGATTGACAGATAAATCCCCCGAGGTGGATCCTACAGCACTCGAGGCGCTACTGCTGCTGCTCAAATGGCCCCCTGGCATGCTCTTTCCAGTGCTGGACGTTGTGCGCCTGGCCGTGCGCCACGAAGCAATTTTCAGTCTGCTCCACAATAGCCACAACTTTTTGAGCAGCGTCATCCCGCAACTGAGTGGTGCGGCGGCCAATCAGCTGATGGTCTGTCGCTGCCTGGCCAACGCCTTGACCCATCGTAGTGGTCGACAGCAGCTGGAGACGCAGCTGCCGCACATCGTGGAGCTCGTTAGCGGCATACGCGCGGGCAGCCCCAATTTGCAAATTGCGATTGCGACGTTCTACCTGAATCTGACCATTTCGCAGACGCTGAGCGTCGCCCAGTCGGAGGTATGCCATGTGGTCACCTCGGGCCTGCTGGAGCTGCTCAAGTGGGCCAAGGATCTGGAGGCCTGGTATCGCGCCATGCAGGCCATTGGCAACCTCACCACAACGCCCTGCGGCCAGGAGGTCATCGCTCTGGTGGTCTCCGTCGATCATGTGATGGACAAGTTGCGCGAGCTGACGAACACACCGCAGGACGAGAACTTTGCCAAGGTCAACATGGTGGGACAGGCGCTTCTCGCCGTATTCTAAGATCTCTGGATCCTGGCGTGCATTTATTTTAAAATTTTTATATATTCGGGAGTCAAATTCAATAAATACATTATGCTTAGCTTATAACATGTATATATATATATGTGTGTGTGGGAATGTATTAATCAGCTGACGTCTTGGGCAGCTGTCCAGCACCGGTTTCCGTTCCAGGCGCTGCTCTGCGCGTTTGAATCCGCTCCAGCAATTCGTGCTTCCAGCGCTCCTCAGGCACACCTTTAGCCCAGTCAGGCACTGTTATGTTGGGCAACGTTATCTTGGCCATGGCCTTGAGTATCTGTGGGAAATCATGGTTGAATTTCTCATAGTTCCCATTCAATGCCATCCATTACCTGCTCTGTGCGTGCCTTGTCCAGCTCCATTTGCAGCTCCTGCGGCCGTGGCTCGTTCCAGACTTGCCGCTCGATTTCTGCATCGGCACTTTCAATGGCTGGCATATTCGGATCACCGTGTGTCACCTCCGCTGTCATCAAGTCGATGTCCTCATCAGGTGTCTCAGCAGCTGCACCGTACTCCCTGACTTCGGTATCATTGGGCATTGCGCCCGCTTCGTCAGCGTCGGTTGCAAGCGGCTGATAGCCATCATACGCATCCGAATCCGCGCTGTCATCGCTCTGTTCGCCAATGTGTGGATGCTCAATTGGAGGCGTTTGAAAAGTATGATCCTCTCCGGGATCTGTGGGTAATTCAGGACCGCCCATTGTGGATGCAAATGAAGAATAATAAACAACAATAATCGATAACGATTAGTGAATAGGTCACAGTGCTGTAAAATGACAGACAGCAGAGTAGACGTTTTAAATCAACTAACTCACTGTTAACTAAACTGTTAACAGGTTACGCACAGAAATAAACCATACCACTAAAAATAATTGGTGATAATGATCTGCTAAACAGTCGTTATTTGTGTTAACATAGCAAACAAACTAATCGATAGGTCGATAAAAAGCAGTGCATTGTCACGATAGTGCTGTAAAATTAGAAACTGCATAAACAGCCGTTACTACTATTAACAGGGCAAAACAAAAGCAATGAAGACAGACAAATTTATATTTTTAATATGTTTATTAACATTAAAAGAGTTAGCCTAGATTCTAGTACAAATAACCGCCTTGAGCTGGCGCTGGAGCCGTTGTGGCATCAGCAGCCGTTGCCTTCTGCAATGGGACAATTGTGGATTTGATGTCGCGATTCGATGTCTTGCGCAGCTCTGTGGCCGCATGCTGCAGTTGCAAGGTGCACTCGGTGCTGACGCCATTCAGTGTCAGCTGTGTGGTCTCCTTTTCCAGCAGCAGCGCCAACGCCTCAAGCAGCTCCACAAAGCCCAGGGCCAGAGCAGCGCGCCGAATGCGATTGAGCTCCTTGTAGAAATGCTGGGTCTTGTCGGGCATTTTCTTGGCATGGCGCAGCACCTTCTGCACGTCAGATTGGAGGCTAGCCTGTCGTATCCACACGACGCTGCTTTGCGAATACGAACGCCGCTCCGCCCGCACCGGAAAGCTGGCCGTTTCGCCGGGCGCCAGGTCCGAGGGAAAACCGAGCAGCTCAAGGTCACCCAGCCAGGGTATCACATGGGAGCCCGGCGGCAGTATGTTGAGCATGAAGTTGGACCTCTTCTTGAGGTCGGTGTAGGAGTACATAAAGCCGTACCACTTCTCGCCCAGCAGCACCAGGGCGGCCATATTTTCCTGTTTGAGAGCGCCATGGAGCAGCACACAGAGATTGTCCTTTTGTTGCTCCGTCTGGGGCTGGCTATGCTTGAGTACCACACTGACGTCCGCATCGTCGCCGCTCTCCTCGGCCTCCTTGGTGTCCTTCATGTAGAAGTCGCGTATGTCCTGCTCCAGTTTCTCAAGCTCATAGTGCGGATTGCTAACATCGAGCGCTAGCTTCGGCGGCTTGGCCACCGACGCCAATCCACCCGAGCGTCGCGTCGGCTTCTCTCGCTCCACCTTGGGCAGCACCCAGTGCCGGCTCAGGGTGGCCGGCGAGCCGATATCCGACAGGGCCAGGAAGCCGCAAACATCGATGCGTTGATCGATGTGCCGAATCGTGGGATCTCCGCCGTAGGGCGCGCTCTGCTCGTAAGGCATCGGTGGTGGCCAGAGCAGCACGGGACTCTCCAGGCGGAAGTAGTGGCCGCACTTCAGCGTCACCTCCGTCAGCTTGTAGCTGCACTCGCACATCCGTTCGATCAGCTCGAATAAAGCCGTACGGCCCAGTTCGCTTTTGTGGCTGCAGCCAGTGTTGGCGTCGCCCGTCTCCATATTCTTCACAGGCTTCGTCATGAACAGCTGACCCTTTAGGCCGGCGGCGTCCAACAGCTGTTGGTGCAGTGCCACGCCACGCGTGAAATAGAGGTCGCTGTGCACGCCCAGACAGATGAAGTTCAGATTGTAGGTGGCCAGTGCCTTGAGCCAGGCGTATTCTGGTTCGGCTTCTTTGCCCGCATATGCATCCAGGAAGCCGGCAATCGATGTGCTGCCAAAGCCCGGACCGCAGTCCGTGAACACCACCAACTGCAGTAGATTCTGAGTGCCCCAGGTGGCCATGAGACTGACGGACGTCTTCAGCATGGTCAACAGACAGGCCTTGTCCAGGGGCTCGATTTTCTTGATCGCCTGCCGAATCTGATCGTAGTCGCGCGTAAAATCCACCTTCAGTTCACAAACTGTGGTGTACAAGACCAGAGCTACGTGTTCGAGTTTTCCCGATGCGGTCAAGTTGTCCAGCAGGTGTTGGATGCCCTTCAGGGCTAGCGACTGGTACGTGTGGTCGTTGCGCCCTGGTACAGGACGCAACATGGATAGCGATGTATCCAAAGCAATTATTGTTGGCATTTTTCCCAACTTTAACTGAGCAATAAATTCGTTTGATTGGCAATATAAACAAACGCCGGCAACAGCTGATTTTCATAATTTATCGATATCTGTCGCTGTGCTATAAACATCGAGGAAACTTCAGATGCAATGCATGAACTATCGATAACAACGTTGACTAGGCTGCTTAGTATTTGTAGCATGATTTGCATTTACAGAATGGCGCCAAAGTGAATATTCAAATATCAATTGAAATGTCGTCAAGATTTGAGTAAAATGTTGCAGAATTGCAGTGAATATGCGAGCAGTCACACAATTATATTAAATGTATATTTATTAGAATTTTATTGGCTTGAGCATTGCCGCCGCAGCAAATTAATCAGCCTCATGATTGATATGCATTGAATAGTTTTGTATTAAAACAAATTGAATTTTGATTCAATTGCATTTCCTACGTCTACCATGCTGTGCAGTTCGACTTAGGATGCGGGAAGCTATAAACGCAACTTTATGCTCTTCACTGGCAGGCTGCGCTCTTTTAATTACATTTAATTAGAAACATCTGAGCACGATCACTCACTCTCGCCCACCCTCTCCAACCAACCAGCATCGGCGCTGAGCAACGAAATTATCAGACATCAGAACTCTATGTGCCAGGCGCCAGCATCTTCTGCTCATTCAGTGTGCGCTGCTCGTGCAGTGAGGACGTTATCAGCTCCCGCAAATAGTAAAATTCCTAGTTAAATTTCCCAGTGAAGTGCAACCGAATCAGTGGTCTTGAGACTTGGAGAGCTGCTCAGCTCCTCTATAATAATAATCCCATCGCTACTCTGCAACTGATACAAGTGTGTATTTATAAGAGTTATATATACATATATATAAATATTATTCCATGAATATATTATATTTTTGATTCAATAACATTGCCCAGCAGCACATGTACTCGATTCTATATAATATATACTAAATACTGAAGTGTTCTATCTTAGCATTCACAATTTATCAACCTTTAACCCAATTCGTTAATGCGATAAGGACATATGGTTTTTTGTTTTATTTCATTTTAAGCCAAAGACATAAACAAATTGATATATTTATGTATATAAATATAGATGTGTGTAATTTATAAAATGTCCAGATCGTGCTCATTTAATCATTTCACTTACATATTTCTGACCCAATTTCCTGCTTGCATTTTACTACCGTCCACAAAATGCAATCAACGGAAAACTGGTGCATGCATGGTATGAAAGAAATGCGTCTTATTCTTGGCAAATTTTATAGCGCTCTATATGCAGAGCTCCAGATTTCAATATAAACAAAGCAAAGATAGACATAGCAACGAGGAACTAATTGGCGCTGCATTCTGTATTGTTTAAACAATTTGCCTTGTCATAAATGTGCCAATGTTTACAGCTGCACAAATTTTTCAATAAACGAATGTATTGCCATACAAACTATGAATTTATTTCAATTTTTGATTATACACATATTCACTATATATATGTATGTATTCTCTTCTTGTTTTCAATTTACACGAATCAAACACTTCAACCCAATTCGGATTTGCATAGCCGCAGCTAATTGGAGATCGAAAAATGGCAACTGCAAACCATCCATCAATTGCTTTAGTATTTCTAGCTCTAATTAGTCTCAACCTATGGCCGATGCATGCCGAAGCATCACCCGTCACGTAAGTACAACATATCCAAAGTTATTTAAATTAGCAAACGATCACATACGTATACAGAGCATATATATCTATATGTATGAATATGCTATATAATATCATATTTTACATACATTTTTTTTTTTAATACATAAATTTCGAGTATAATCTCGAAATTATATATGGTCATAAAATATAGTAGTGTGACTGAATCATAAAATTTTTTTTCAGCAATTTGAAAAATAAAAAATAAATAAAATGCAAAAAAAATTATAAATATTTCAAATTAAAAATCCTTTGAAAAATGGAGTAATTTTTAAAAAAATATTATTATATATCCCGATAAAATTTGTAAGGATTGTAGACATATGTAAATATATGTTATGTATAGTTCAAGTTTTCAAGATTTTTAGTACTTTTCATTTTTTTTTTTTTTTTTTTTTTTTTTTTTTAATATTACATATGATATGATTTCCCAAATTAAGACCTTAATAATTTTCCTTTTTGATAAATTTGTTTTATTCAATTTTCAAAATGTTTTAAGGTCTTTTGCGTATTAAAATAAATAATTTATAATACATACATATTTATCGAGACAAAAATGAGACATTGCAACATTTTAGAATGTATTTGAATTTTTCGAGCTCTTTAGCTATTCTTTCTGACTGATTCTTATTCGAACTGAAATCAGTTTGACACATGTCAAACACTCGCACGCACTTTGCCTCAGATTTTCGGAACGAAGCGTGAAATATAATGCAGTAGAGAACTGAAATTGAAATGTTTCTTTGCGAAATGTGGTAGATATCAAATGGGGCGCCAGGACGTTTACAGTTCTCGGATGTAAACACCATCACCAATGTCTAATGCCAGAGATCCAGACCCGGGTGCCATATGCTGGGCATGCATAGGGCAACGCCTTCGACAGAGCTCTCAGCTCCCCCCAAAACTAATGACTATTGCCTTCAAAGAAACWGAGTGAGAGAGAGCGAGGCAGAGAGAGAGAGGGAGATGGAGATGTGGCTCTGTCTGTCTGTTCCGGCTGTTTGTTTATTTATTTTTGGCCCACACTTCATGCAAATGGCCTGCGGAATGGGAATGGGAATGGGATGAGATGGGATGGGATAGCGTAATGGGAATGGGCAGCGACAGGGAAGCTTGCGGCACATATGTTGCCTATCGGGGCGCATGGCACTCGCTGCTTGGCACTCTTACCACTCTCTTGCTGCTCTGCATATCTATCAGCATAAATGCATTTCACACACACACACACACACGCATCCATGCATGCACACAATATGCAACGCATCTAAAAGGGTTTCTGACCCTGAGACAGCGCCGAGCTGTAGATTATTAGCAGGCAGGGTGGGCCGTGCATGTTTATGAGAATTGATCTCGATCTTTACAAGTCATTTATGGCGATTGCAGACGTACCCAGGCACAGGCCCCGTCGCCGTCCCAGTTCCATCAGCATTTACAGCTGTCGATGACTCTGCCATAAAAACGGCCCATCTCTTCCCTGTGATTGACACAAGAATTTTCTGCTTCTCAGCTTACATTCGAAATGTAATGTTGAACAGAAAATAATAATTGTCAAATAAAATTTCTAGTCAATATTTCATTTAATGCTTCAAGCTAGAATTTCCTTGTTGAATTCATTACATTTTATTGCAAAGATACACATTTTTACAGTATTTGTGTCTTCTTGTTAAAAACGGCAAATTTTCAAAATGTTTTGAAACTTTTTTAAAATTAATAATTTACTTATTTAGACATTTTGAAAAGTTTAAAAACTCGGTTCGAAAAATACTAAGTGTAAAAAATATTAATTGTCAATAAATGAAAAGTTTTAGAATTGTTCAGAATATTTTTAAAGCTAACTAACTTTCTAAAAAAAAATAAAAATAAAAAAATAAAATCATTATGTTGTCAAAAATAAAGCAAACAAGAAGTAAACTAACATTTTATCAGTTTTATTTATTTTCAAAAACCATAAATATATTTTTCTTTTTATTTCAAGTAGTTTAAAATAATTTTTACACAAATGTTAACTGTTTTTTTTTTTTTTTTTTTTTTTTTAGAATTTCGACAGCGAAATGATTAAATGCGTAATCATTAAAAAACTGTTGCAATTTATATATATTTTTGTTCAATACTTTACATATTTTTAATTTGATTATAATTAATTATTTAATAAATTAAATTAATTAAAATACAGTTTTTACTACTTATAGAAATCAGAAATTAAATTAAATTAAATTTCTTTAATTTTCTTCTTCTTCTTCTTCCATTTTTCTATCGTTCCAGCAATGAAGACTTAAGTGGAACCCTAAAATCCCTGATCTATTCGTATAATCAGTTGGACAACAAGCTGGAGCGACATGAGCATCGAGAGCGTGCACTGGGCGAGCTCTTGAAGAAGGCAATGCAGGCCCTGCAGAAGGGCCAGCGGAGCCTGGAGCCGATGAGCGGGATATTCGGGCGACTGGACGAGCGGGTCAGTCAGATAGAGACCATGTTGATCACAGTGAGTGGATTCATATTATCGTTAGTGTTAGTCAATATTATTATTACTGTTATTATTATTATTATTGTGCAGCAAGAGGAGAAGTATAATACGGAAACGGACAAACTCAATCGGGCCATGGAGCACATGTTCCAATGGATGCGCGAGAACGACGAATGCTTCAAGAACCCGCCAGGTGGACCCAAGGCAATTGCTCCGCCAGCACCGGCCCCCGCCTCCGCACTGCCCGATGCATTTGTGAAGGAACAACAGCAAATCAATAAGCAGCTGCTCGACGAGCTCAAGCAGCTCAGGACGAGCGTGACCCAGCTGCTGGACAACAGCAAACAGGCCGCCCAACAGACCCAGCAGGGCTTCGAGCGCATGCCCAAGTCCGATGAGCTGCTTAGCCAGATCGAGGCCAAGCTGCAGCAGCACAGCGCCGCGGCTGCCGTCACCACTGTGGCTCCGCCCAAGAATGATGAGCTCGAGCTGAAGCTTCTGGAACGTCTGGGTCAACTGAGCACTCAAGTGGCTGAGCTGCGCAATGCCACGTTGCAGGCACCAGCTGCTCCCCAGGGTCTCAACGAGAAGGATCGTGCCTATATGCAGGAGCTAAACAATGAGACGCTCAATGCTCTGACGGCACTGAAGACCGAATCGCTGCTGGGTCAGCAAACAGGTGAGTGGAAAGGAGAGACATCGACTTCTTTTCTATCTATTCCCGTTCCATGTGCAGCACTGCGCCAGACCACGGAGCACATGCAGCAGACGGAGGCGAACATCCAGGGTGATCTGAAGCAATTGTCGGGCGACTTGACGCTGCTCAACCAGCTCTACAAGGGCATCAATGCCAGCCACAGTAAGCTGAACGATGGCTTCGATGCGCTGGGTAAGTTCAACAACATCATGATGACCAACTCGGAGGTGGTGCTGGACACCCAGCGCAAGGTCGAGTTCGGCACGCTGCAGATTGTGCAGAAGGTGAGTCTGCTGCTGGAGCAGCAGGTGGCGGAGCTGACGGGCCTGGTGAAGGCGCGCTTCAACGAGCTGAACGATACGCTGGTGGAGACGCAGGAGGAGTCCAATCGTAATATCAGCGGACTGCTGGATACGGCTCTGTCGCAGGTGTGGCATCGCATCGAGATCATGAGCTCCGAAATTGGCCAAAGCCGCGAGATGCTCGGCCTGATGCAGGCCGGCCACGATGGCTATGTGAACAGCACGTTCAGCACAATGATGGGCCTGAGCAGCAAGGTGGAGGAGACTAAGAAGCATATGATCGACATGGACGACAATCTCAACTATCTGCTGGGCAAGCTGTCCCTCATGTCCAGTGAGTTCGCCAACATTAAGAAGGGTCTGGCCGACTCCCTGATGGACTTGCGCAGCTCCTTTCAATTGATACACGAGCGCATGCCCAACAGTGCCGGGCCGCACAACATCGAGAAGAATAAGTATCTGACCGATGTGAATTTGCTGTCGAAGCGGCACGCTCAGCCCGAGCCCAGCATGTAGAGCCGCAGGATGCGTCCAGGCAACAACATATACATATATATACAATAAAAGCCTAACATTAGCCTTTAAGTTATCGAACTTACAATTAAAATACATAAAATATTTATGCAAAACTCAAATTAACATGCTTCATGTGTAAATCTCTGCAAATACATTTCGTTTATGAATAACAAACAATAGCAAACAAAAATTCATGTATATCTATATATATATTTATATATACATATATGATGTGTGTGTGTGGGTCTTTTCACTTTTTGCTTAAGTTTACAATTTGCAGGCGATTAACTTAATCTATTGTACATCGAATATTATCATAAAGTAACTTATTCAGAACATAAGAAGCAACCTATTATTTCCCCCAACGTTGCTCACAGCGCGCATACTTGTACAGCACCTGGGCAAAGGATTTGGCATCGAAGTAACTGCCGCTGCGATGCGTATGGAACTCGGTGAAGCGCACATGCCACGGCAGCAGGCCGTATGTGCACGTCTGCCTGGAGAACACAATGCCCAGCTCTGGCTCCGGTACGGCGTAGCCCAGCCTCTTGTTCAGCATGCCATTGATGCCATTGGTTAGCTTTTGGCGCTCCTCCAGCATCGCTTGCACCTGGACGCTTTTGCGGCTCTCGTACAGCTCACGGCAGACATCGGCAATTAGCGCATGGCCATCGGCTCTAGTAATTTGATACACCTACAATTTAACAATTCAAAAGATAAGAAATATACACTTTCAAAACTGATTAGGCGTTTTCACGGGAATATTAGATACAAGTGAAGTTATCTTTCCAGCAAAATGAATGAACGCTTATTGAGGAACAGCTCAAATAACCATTGATAACGCCCTTATCAGTTGCTTTAACCCTAACTTACCTGTAGTTGCTTCTGATGTGCACCGTTGCTGGCATAGCCATTGCTAGTGCCATTTTGGTTAATCTTATGGCCATTCTGTATGAGTTTTTGTTCCTTAGCTTGTGACGATGATGGCCAGTGGAAGCATCTTTCGCTCTTTTCGTCCAGTTGACAGAAGAGTGACAGATCCACATAGCCATTACCCTGGGTGCGCGTATCGTAGACACTTAAATAGGGTATGCCAACAATTTGAGCGTAGCTGAAAATGCGCTTAAGCAACGCCACATCTACATAGCAATCATCCGGTCCCACAACTAACACCAGATGTTTCGGCAATTTCTCCAGCCCGCGCAGTGCGCTGTCTAGAAACGCTCGCTGATCACATTGCAAGTAGTCATATGACCTGCTGGCTAGGGCGTGTAATCGCACCCAAAGCTGTTGCAGCAGATCAAAGGCGGCAATGCATATTATCAGGAGATGGCCAAGCAATTGGCATACGAATTGCATCATCATTTTAGTGCGGTTGGAATGGTAATTGTTAGTTTATATTTATGCTTAAGTCGTGTTGTTGAGGTGCCGGGCAACGGTGCTCCTGTTGCTTGCGTTGTTGCCGTGTTGTTGCTGCAGCTGTGCCCGCACATAACCTTCAAATAGAGACGTAGACATTGAATTTGTATTTAGCCTAACAATTTAGCTTAGCCACTTACGTATGTTAAGCCGCAAATGGTCTAATTGTGCTGCTAAGAAGCAACATAACTTGAACTCTAGTTTTTCATTACCCCTTTTGGCGCACGCACATATCTACACAAATACGTGTTCTAAGTTGGATGAATCGCAGCTATCGATGCGCATCGATGTATCGCCGACAGTATCTACGAATTATTATCGATAGGTGATTATTGTATGCAGCTGCATTTCATCGCTCTTGTTGCCTTAACGGCTTTTCAAATAAACATTTATTGCTCTAGTTAAATAATAAGAATAAGATAAATAATGCACTCATAAAATATAAAAATATTCAGTTATAAAGACTGATATAATTGATTATTCTCAGCGGACATAAACATAGATTCGGATTTGTTTTCCCCTGTTTTACCGAAGTCTTAAAGCTCTGCATTTAAATTGGGATAGAGCAAATTGTAAAAAATTTGAATATAGCGACTAATTAAATTTTCTCTGAATTGGTATAAATAAATATATTTTTGTTAAATACATATCAAAATGTTTTCTGGTGAACCAAAATTTTTGAAAACTAGGGAAATTATTGTTCAATTTTAAAACCAAAATATCTTTTCTCGTATTTAATACAGCCACTGACCAGAGAACACATAGACTAGACATGTAGTACAAAGTTTTTCAACACCGAAAAATCTGACTCGCAGGGCCTATCAATTTCGTATTTGCTCGGCTCTTCACTTTTTAGGTTCGGGCTACGAAAATATGCGAAGGTACAATCATTCCGCTTCAGGCGCTCGACCGAGATGGTCAAATGTTGAATAAAAGATGTCTCTATGCTCAATTTTCGTGAGCTGCTGCTTGTGCTCACATGCATACATACATATACATATTGAGAGAGCAGAGAGCAGAGAGAGCGAGAGAGCAAGAACAAAAATTGAGCATAGAGACATCTTTTATTCAACATTTGACCATCTCGGTCGAGCGCCTGAAGCGGAATGATTGTACCTTCGCATATTTTCGTAGCCCGAACCTAAAAAGTGAAGAGCCGAGCAAATACGAAATTGATAGGCCCTRBRAGTCMGATTTTTCGGKGTTGAAAAACTTTGTACTACATGTCTAGTCTATGTGTTCTCTGGTCAGTGATACAGCCTGAGTGTACAAAACGCACTAAAAATAGACAAATTTATAGTAGTGCCATTTTGAGTAAAGCAGAGCAGGTATACATGAACATCAGTTGGTTAAAAACAGTGCCAGACGTTTGAAGACTGTTGTGTGAGCATTGCTGCAAAGTTGGCGTTAACGAAAATTGTATTGTGTTCGATTAAAACAGTGTAAATATATAAAAGATTTTATAAGTGCAGTTTTTTCAACTCTTGCATCCAGCATAGCGAATTTATAATAATAGCGGCGATTGCCGCATTGAATGTGACACTGTCTATGTGTGTGTAAATCGCAAAGATTTTACAGTTGCAGCCCGCCCAACTAGCTGTAAACGAATAGAAACATAGTAAGCATTTTATTTACAGCAAAATTGAAAAAAATCATAATTTGAAAAGTATTTCATATGCCGCACTTATTGTTAGGAAAACCAGAAATTTGAAACAGTCAGTGTGCAGTAAATAGTTGAGTAACAACCGTAACAACCCACAGAAGCAACAACTGCAACTGCAACTGCAAGGTTTAAGGACACAAGAACATCCTTGACGTCGCAAGCGACCACCCACAGGTGCGGAGCAACGAAACTCAAGAAAAAGAGCAGAACAAGAAAAAGAAGAAATATGTCTACCGCCTTCTTAACGCTTGTCGCCGTTATCGTGTGCATTCTATTCCGCATCCTAAATGTCCATAGCCAGCCCTTGAGGCCGAGCGTGTGGTGCCTCGACGAGCAGTTTCTCGATTGCTTGTACAAAATTGCGCCGGTGCTGCGCGAACCGTAAGTATAGATACATAGACACTCAACATATGATTTTCAGCAAATAATAATAATTCAGTGAGCGAAAAAAGTATTCTCACACAATATCGATGTGCAGACCCCATGCAATTACTTTTCTGTTTTGCCTCAAACGAATTTCACACATACACACTTTTTCGTGTGTGTATGCTGTGTTTGCGTGTTGTGCGCCGCGCCTTGCGCTTCGGCTCAGCTGATTTAAATGTATGTGGCATCTATGCTACAGCCACGGTAAAATGTTAGTTAACAGCGCGCAATCAAGTGGAATTTGCTAGAAATAAAAATTCCAGATTGTAGTGCAAAAATGAAGTGGCGAAAATTAAATTAATTTCGAATTTTAATTGTCCTAATATATACTGTTTTCGTTTATGAAATTCGCCTACGTATCAATCTGTTTTGTTTCGTATAAGTAAATTTGTAAATATGTTAGCTTGCTTTTAGGTATTTATAATTCAAATTAGTAATAGTATTAAATATTATTTAAGCTTAATACTTTTGTTAAAATAGGCGCATATTGTTTTTAAATGCACTGAAGTACTCAATTAAATTAGAATGAAATAATGTTTAATGACTATCTCATTAGCATTTTTCAATTATAAGCAGGTGTCATTCACTTTCTGCTAGCAATTTGTAACTGCATAATTGCTGCACTTTAAATCATTTGCAAAACCTTAATGTACATTTTACATATATGCAATTGTATATATATGTACATACGTAAAGATTACCGTGTCACATGCATAAAGTTCAAGTAATCGACAGCAGCTGCCCCGGCGAATGAATCATTAGCCTCTATTCACATCAAACTTTTATTTTCGTGTTTGTTTTGTTTCTGTGATTATCAAATATGCAATAATGAGTCAATTAAATTAAATGGTTGATCAATCTCGCGTGTTCGCATAGATTTCATTCAAGTGCATACAGAGATAGTATCTATTTAGAACCGTGAAATTGTCATAGGTAACTTTTTAATTTTCACAATTCTTACTTATCGACACATGGTTATCATATCTATATCAAAGTAAACAACAATAGTTTTATATATTTCATATATAGGCATGTATATACATATGTATCATATGTATATGAATTTTTACAGAAATACAAGTATTTATAGCACTATAAGTAATAATAGTCACCCTTTGTGGTTTTAGTCATAGGTGAGTGCTGAGCTAACTATAATAATAAAAAAGCTATATAAAATGCATATTTGACACATATCGGCTTACTAAAACAATGATTATATAGTATATATGAGGTATTTTAAATTCATTGCTATACAGTACCATTCAATATTGTATTATATTAATCTAATTGTGCGCATCAATGTTATTAACATTTTTTTTTTTTTTTTGCAACAGTTACACGCCTGGACAATATTCCCCAAAAATCTATAGATACTTACATATTTATATATTCATACAGACAAGCATACGTACATATGTATGTTTGTGTTCTTTTGGCTTTCGGTTCAGATTAGAGAATTTTAAGAAAGCCCTGAGTCTTTACTTCACTTTTATATTCTGTCTGCCTTTGGTCAAACGGTGATAAGCGAACGGTGCAAAGAGTAAACCATAATTACGCATTTCATTTAAGCGAAGCGAATAACGCCTAGCAACGTCTCTGCCTAGTAAGTAGCTCTCAATAGACTTTCAATTTATTGGGTGTGGGACGCTCGGGAATAAAAG